GAGAGAGAGAGAGAGAGAGAGAGAGAGAGAGAGAGAGAGAGAGAGAGAGAGAGAGAGAGTCGGGATCGCAGAGCTTGCCGCAGGCAAAGCCGCGGCGGGTCCACTTGTTTAAGTTTAAAGTTTAAACTTTACTTTTTTTTTTCTTTTTTTTCCGAATTTTTATTATTTTTGTTCTGCAATGCAAAACTTCAAAAGCAAAAGCAGCAAAAGTTTATTCCTTTGCTTTTTTTTGTTTTTTTTTTCCTCCACGTTTTTAGTCCGTTAACATGGTTAACGTGGTGGATGAATCGGTTTGCCGCACGGGTCCATATGCATTTGTGTCAGAGGGGCCCCAGAGGGGGCAGAGAGGGGGCCTAAGACCCCCTGGGGCACTTGTGGTTTAGGCAATGGGACCCTCTTTATTCCAAAATTATGAATACGAGTCGGGTTGAATTACTCATCATAGTAGATTGTCTTTTTTTGTTTTTTGGTTTCGTAGAGGTTGGCGTAGTTCCTTTTATGGTTACTTGAGAGGATTTGGGAGTGTTGCCCCGCACAGACCTTGTCATGGTGGGCGGTGGGGTCTCTTAGGGGGTTGGCACAGATTGAGGGAGTGGTTAGCCCTAAATCACGAGGAGGCGGGTGGGTTGCAGGGTCTTTTGACCCTAGCCGCGCGGGTGGTAGGGCCTTCCCACAGGGGAGAAGTTGTCGGATTGGCTTTTGCATGTGGTTGGGATTTCTTCTGACATCCTGTTTTCTTGATTGGAATTGGAGAGTGTCGCTCCGTGGGTGCTTCATCATGGAGGGCGGTGAAGCCTCCATTGCGAGCCAAAATGCAGATGAGAGGAGTGGTGTACCGTAAATCTCGAGGAGGTGGGTGGGTTCTGCGGGGTCTTTGGCCCCTGCCGCGCAGGTGGTAGGGTATTTCCGCAGGTTAGCGAAATTGCCATCATGGTGGCAGTTGGCAGTTTTGGTAGATGACTGTCCGTGGTGGTGCGATCCGCTCTACATCGCGAGGAGGTGGGTGGGTCTTTGCGGGGTCTGAGTCTGCGGTTGGTGGCCCGGCGACCCAGACCCCTGCTGTGAGGGAGGTAGGGCGGATACGTACGGTTTGGTGTTTAACAGAGGATGGAGGATTTTGTTACTGGCATTACTTACTTAGGATTTTGGCATACTCGTTTCTTATGTTCGTTTTGTTGAGCCTTTTCGATGATGTGAGGGACGCCGGACCCGGTTTCCGGCTTGTATAATTCAAAAGCAGCCGTCATATGAACCAGGCCGAAGTGCCTGGATCATACGACATTTGGCTGCCCGTGTTCTAAAAAAATAAAATCAAATTTGATTCAAATATATATATCGTCAATATATATATATATATACTTTGATTTTGGTTAAGGTAGATTATCATTTACAGTGTAATCAGTGAGGGGATTCTGCAGACTGTTGAGGGTTCATCCTCCTGATGAGTCGGT